GTACAATTTACTATTATTATCGGTATTATTCGAGTTTTTTTCCCTGCAAATTGATCTATTGATGGGATCCATATTAACGCGTGTTATAGAACTGCGACGGGCGCATTACTGCATGCAGAATACAAAAACATTTAGGATCTTCCCAGGGTCACGTGGTGCACGGCCGAAATATAAAAATCTCCTGTCCATGTCGCTAACAAGGGTGTTCACAGTGTAAACCTATACGACGCTGTGTTTTGCTATTGAGTTTGTTCGTTTCGTTCGATTCATTCATCCTGAAATGGCTGTTTGTGGTAGTTGACTTATTATCGCTTTGTCGTTAAAGCGGCGTTCAAGTAGCTGGGTGTGTGCTAGACCTCGCACTCCTGCTGGCGACGACGTTAGCATTGATGTACACAAAAGCTATACAGTTGTCAGAGGTGGGCGCCAATTCACCGTTAGCCAACTGTTTCCACACCACCAACAAAAACAGGTCCCTCACAATTCGGTATAAAGTTTTTCCGGTGAAGTGCTTCGTGAAACACAGCCGATTGGCCCGCGGCAAGGAGCAGCAGTACTTCATCAACTCTTCAATGTATGCGTACCTTCTTTCTCGATGCTCTTCCGAACTCGTTGGTTTGTGGTGGTGACAGGAAACGCCATACGTCAAGCGGGACTAGCCACGTTTCTCTGTACAATGACGAATAGCCACCGTATTTTGTTGGAGCGAAGTTATAGAACCACAGCAATAACAGGACCAGCATCGGCACCGGCAGCAGCATTAAGGATGAAAGAACATAGTTCAGCGGGGGTCGTCACTCGACGATCGGCCACGGAAGGTTGTCTCTGCGAATACCTACGATTTGAGTATGATACGTCCACATGACTGACTATCTCGTTCGCTGGCCATGCGACAATAGCGTGATTGAAGCACAGTATTCGTGAAAGATACTGCTGTTTATATATATCTAAATTAAAAAAAAAGTTGTACCTGTATAGTAAAAGTACCTGAAGTCGCGCATGTGACGCGTCATCTTGGGGTTGCCGCTTCTCCGGGCTTGACATTCTGCTGAAAATAGATACATTGACAAGAAAAGAGCCTGTAACAAAATGATCGATTCGTGCGGAGAGGCACTTCCTGAAGTGCATTAAAACCTGAAAGTTGTAGTGGCACGTGGCAGCCACACGATATGATCAGCGTTCTCGAAGGTTTTTTTTCAAGCAATTATCAGTTCCGACAATAGGATGCACACAGAAAACGTGTGTCGACGGTCGGACGTGCTTAAACTTTATGTGGACTTGTGGACCTCTAAACTTGTGCGATATTGACGACGGGGTTCGTCACGAACAAGGCATTATTAAGCTGTGTCTTTCTATGCGCAAAAGAAAATATTAATTTTTTCCTCATGATTAAAGTATGCTACGATAGTTTTTCTTTTAACTGACTTGCGGTTTAATAAATGAATATATGGTATCAATAAGCTGTCCGAAGTAATGCCGGAAGAAAGGCCGGTGCTTCCGGATATGCAATTTAGGGCAGCCAGACTAAGGCAAGCTTCGGCCGTATCATCTATGTCGCAATGACAATTATAGCTTCGTAGGCTGATTTAGTTGTGAGTTTTTTTTTGCGAGTAAAAAGAGCCGAATGTCTATTTTTTTCCCCACCAACGAACTATTTTATTCTACCAGCAAACATTGGCCTTCCGCCTCAACGTTGAGCGTCCCTTTCAGCTTTCGTAACTTTTTCGTGGGCATGCAAACCTTGATGCCGCTAACAGACCACCTGATCCTCTGGCCGACCTTACGAAATGCTAGTTTCATGTTTGGAACAATCAATGAACATTGCCAATGTTACCATAATAAAGGACACGGTCAAACACAATGGCAAATGTTTTACTTGTCTTAAAAACTCTAGCGGTACGTTGAACCAGTTGTATCCATATGCCATATTCGAAGGTAAGTAAGGGAAATTTCGTAACGCCAGAGCCTTTGAAACTGCAACAAACATTATTGGCACTGATAGACGAACAAGCACCGGCGGTAGTCATCTAGCGGCGTAGTGATACACTGTGGGGGCGGCACTTGACCTTTGGCTTCATTCTTCTTGATCTCTCAGAGATTTGTTATCCTCAGCTGGCCATACTGGTTGGGCCTATCAGCCGCCAGTGCTGGTTTGGCGACCGTACAATTATCATTATACAACCCAAGCCCCCACGATTAGCGCGATTTTCGTAGACGTTGACCCTCTTCAGATCAAAGGGTCAAGACGTCTTGCCTTTACTGTTTGCCGCAAAGCGCTAGATTTTCGAATGAGCGTTCGTGTGTTCGCCCAGAAGCGACGTAAAAACGTCGGCAAAATGCTATTAAATCCTACAGGAATATTTTGTGAATCAAGCTCATTAGCCCAAAACAAAGATGAGGGTAGCAGAGCAGTAAGTATTGCCAAATCACGGTTAATGAGAACAAATCGACAATCAAGAACCATTTAGAAGAATTATAGCTCGACCTAAAGGCTTGCCCCTTCACACGTACACTGCGCATTGCCATAAGTTTATTAGCAAGTAGCTAATAAGGAAGGTTATGAGTTAGTAGGCTGGCTGGACGCTTTGTGCTCCACAACAACGTGATGTCCTGTTCAAGCTAAAAAAGCGATGACAAAGTATCAGTCACCTATCGGCCGAAAGATCTGATATGGATCTAACAAGCGAATGCGTCTGATATCTATTGTTTCGTTCCCAATTGTTTGACAAACAGAGATCGGGCAAAACACAAAGCGTGTGCAAGATTTTCCATTCTTAAGATTTCTAGTTTGGATCAAATGTTGGTTCTATTGAACGTCGTAAAAATTTCATTGAATAACCATCCAGCAAATCGTGACGCCACGGTGGTATCCATTCAATAGTGTCATCTTTTCCAGGAGTGGTAGCAATAGGCTTTAGGAACGTTTCGTATTTTCCTATTAAGCACCGACATCACTTAATCAATGTCGGACCAACGTTAACTCGCTTAGTCTTAATTTCACTGATATTTTGTTATCCTTTCATTCGAAGCACATCAACTGTTTTTGTCGACCGTTGCCATGCGTTGTCAACACCTATCCATTCGGTCCCTGTTTTCAAAGTGAGCGACCTACAAGAGCACGCGCATAGGTTCAAATTAGATTGAAGCGCCAAAGGCTAAACAATGTGTTTGTTAGATGTACGCGGTCAGTCACAGTATTGGTGTTAAAAGTCAGGTGACGACGACGGTGAACTGCTGCGTTGTTAAGAGCTCATAAACATTGGTAGATTTCGACGGATTTGGCGAAATCGCGAGTGAATTCCCCGAACGCCGGAGGAGGGCCACTTGCTACGAGCCATGAGACCGCCCTGAGACTAAAGTGCGGCAAACCGCGGGGGGAAGAGGCTGAACAAGTAGAACAGATAATACCATACGTCAAAAAGCCGGAAGGGAAGACCGCGGAAAGTGCTAGACTACTCATGCGATCTACTATAAATTGCCACTTCAGTTCACGAGCGCGCTTACGAGGTGCCGATGTTGGATGACACGATGACACCAGAAAGAAAGCGATATTAGAGGTGCCTTTATGCGCGTCTCAAGAGTTCGTTGCATTCGTCACACAGTCAGGGGGACGCGCTTCCGTTAGTGTTAATGAAGGAAGGACAGATATTCCTGGAAAACGAGTTCACACTTATGAGTGCCCAATGGGTCTATATATTCAGATGGCATGAGAAGACATGACATCGTTCAGTGATTATGTATACATCAAAGTACCTTTGTCGCGCACATGTATCATAAAAAGAAGCATTTTAATTCTTCATTTCGCTCGGTTTAGGAGAGTGTCACTTAGGTAAGCCATATGCATATAGCCAGACTCGAACTGAGGAAGTTGTCGTATAACTTAACCAGCGCAGGTAATTGCTAGAATGACTAGGTTTTTTAATTATCACAGTTATTAACATGAAAGGTTCTAGCAAACCAAGATAACTCTAACTAAAAAGTTAATCGACATTATTTGTAATGAGCTGCATTTTAAGGCAACGTTTTGCTAAAACGTATGTCATAAAGCATAGGTTCAAAGATTTCATGACATTGGCACGAGAAAACTACCAAGAAATGCTGATGAAATGAAGTTCCGAAATCAATGAACTTAAGGACCTATCTATTCTGCTTTTACAGGTCTATTCTGTTTTACTAAACTTCGCTCATGAAGAGCGATGATTAGCCTGACCATCTGTGGGTTGAAATCGTGGTTATACAAGTGAATCAAGCCAAGGGCAAACCGGCCGATCCAGTCCAGGCCGAAGTTGACCGTTGTGGTTGAACTTTTGGGTCGAACACGCGACCTGGGCGTGGGAGGAATGCATATTGAAACAGATCGCTTAGAAAATTTGTACGAAGAAGACATGAAGACAATTGCGAGGACAATAAGTATCACCTCCATATGTTAGTTTGCTTCATGCCATCATTCTCTAGAATCGAAATCTAGCAAAGCGTATTTTAAAATATTTCTGATCTCTTATGATGATGATGATGATGATGATGATGATGATGAGGCAATGAAAAGCAAAGAAATTTTTTTATTAAGTCGTGTGTGCAAAATCGGCAGGGAACCCAAGCGCATAAAAGAAAGTTATCAGATTGATTCTAATCTGGTTTTTCTGATTAAATTTTACTGAGTTCATCTTAAATGGTCCATGATGTCCAGGAACGATATACTAATATAGTATAACTACTGTATAGTAGAAAGCTCATTATCTCGGGCTATGCTTATCTCGAACGAAATAGTAAAATAAAAAAAAATGTAGTTAAAGAGCTCAGACTAATAATTTTATAGACTCCGCGTAAATATACAGCTCAGAGGGATGAATCTTCGACTGTACGGTTTTGGGAGTTATCCTGTAACTTTCATATGCAGATTTGCGATTTTTGTGTCTTCTCAGAGCAGGTCGACTATTCAATGCTAACCGTAAAATTACAACATTGGTAAGAAATCTGTGAGGCTGTGGGACGATTCAACGTCATGCACAGGCAAATCACCTCAACAAGTGTCTTCATTTGAAGACCTCCTACCAGGCTGCGGAAGGCCAGAACAATGCCACATCATTTCAAATCTCTTACTGCGAGCGCTGTTTATAGAACCATGTGTATCCGTTGTATAATCCTATCTGATGGAATATTCTCTGGTGCGTTTATTTAGTCTTTTTGATCTTTCTGTCCTTCTTCCGTGAATGCTTTTTAGAAAAAAGTTTATGTGCTACATCGGGTCTTGAATATGAGATGCACCCCACCTGAACAGCGACAACGAAGCTATGCTATCCTCTCACCGTTATGGCCCCGCGCGTCGGATTAAGACGACCAGAAAGAGAGCTTTCGATAAACATTGCTAACAAGCATACTTGGATGGCGTGGCAACTTAAACATGCCTGTTGCTTAATGCTCAAATATTTCAGGGAGGTCTACCCATTCATCCTATTTGTCTTGCACCGGGTCACAATGATACGACCGCTCATGGTGAGCCCAGCAGCTTGAAACGATGTAAACAGTCACACATTTCGACATGTAGAACAGGCAACACTGATTTTGACAATTCTATATGGCGTATTACTACTACCAACGCGTTTGTATCGGAAGAAACGCCACGTTTACTTAAGAATCACGTCATGGCGACGGAAATACCTAAGGTTATTAGTATGGAGCTTAATAGTGCTCATATATCATCTATGCATAGTAAATTCTGCGTATACACCCAGTAGAAGACCTATGTTCACGCTTGAGGGATTCAGTCGTCCTTGTGGTGCAAGGACCAACGGGATAGCTTGTCATTACTTATTAATATATTTATACTACCGAAGGAGATGGCCAGGCAAACATTTCCACTAGAACGTCACAGATTACAGATCCTCTCATAGGATCAATATTTACTCACAACAATAATTAGTGAAGAAAAAGAAGACTTATTGCTTATATTTTGGCATAAATGCTCGCATTGCTGTAGAGGTTAAGTAACAAAATAGAAATCGTATATTGATAACACAAGTAGATATATAATACAAACGCTCGCCGTGTCTAGCATGCCACGTTCATTACTGCATCCTCAGAGTGAAAAACACAATTTCTAAGACACCTATTGCTCCTTGTCGATGAAGGCAACGTTATTATTATTATTATATGTTCGGTATCGTCTACGATCTTCGTCGCGTCAACAGTCGGCCTAATTATTCTGCATTTCGAGAACTGTATCTTGCTCACAGGTTACGTTCTGTATGAGCACCGCCCCGTTAGTTTGTCCACTAATTGTGGAATAAGGAAAAAACGAAAGTCCATGACAAGCAGCTGCCACGGTTCCGTGTACGTTGACGCAAACGAGGCCGCCTTGAAACGTCGGAATGGCTCGACTAATACGGCGTATCGCTTGTCGACATGCTTCGGCTGGCTGTAACCTAAGCCAAGTTAACAGGATAAGGGATGCGCGTGAAATTAATCGAATCCATACAAAGATACACTACGATTATTGCGACACCTAACGTTTTTGGTCGTATAAGATGCTTACGTAAAGACAGGAGTAGTGAAGTCAAGTTTTATGAGAGGTTTCATTCACTTGAAAGCGGACAAATTTCAAATGACATCATAACATTGCTAAGAGGTCTTGACAAATGAGAAGGAATACCATATAAACTACGCAGACTACGTATTAAGGAGAGCCTTAATTAGATAATGTATAGGTGGGTCAACTAGCAATACAATAGCGGTATAGTCTAAATTTATGATATGCTCCTCAAAGGCTGTTTCAGACTCTGTTCCAAGCGTCTTTGCAAAAATTCATTCAGAGAGTTTAAGAATACATCAGTATTTAACTTTACGCATAACTGCTGCCAGCGATGCATATATATATATATACCTTGAGGCAAACTAGTTTCTCATAATGATTTGTGGTCGAATAAACGAGTCATGCAAGCCTAGCTAACCACTGCGTTATGTAGCATACCCTATCTCTAAAAAAACGCTGGATTCGTTATACAGAAAAACAATCTACAAATACGTGTATTGTAGATGTTAAATTATGACTGAGATGTCGTACCGGCGTGTACTTACCCTTGCCGCATAAATTCTACAGCCTGATATGATGGCAAAAACCTCATCATAACGTCGCCATCGCCAGTGGCTGTTGCTCCCCCTACATCCTGGTCAACGTACGCACCAGCACCTATGCAAATTATGATCGATAGAAAAAATCATGCAGCGATAGCATCGTCAATTACGTTTGACGTAAAGAACAACAAATACAATACACTCTCTAAACAAAATACTTTTTGATGTACATTTTCCATATATGAGTTACCAACAGTGTTAATTCAGCCTATTGTGGCTACTGGAACATAAATCTACGACGTTTGGCTCACCGGGTATTGGCGAATCACCAACCCGTCCCGGAATTTTATGGCACATTCCATTCGTGGACGTTCCTCCTGAAATAATGCCGTGTCCGTCTATTACAATCATTCCAATGGTATCATGGTTCCACCGAGACACAACTGGTATGCTTCGTCTTTGACTTGAATGTACTGAATCCATGTTCTTCCAACGCAGCCGAAGCGGTACGTCCTGGGTTGGTTTGTAGGGTCCGCATGACGACTTCGGGTCTGGAATCACGTCGGTCCAATAGTTGGGCTGACAAGACGCATTCTTCCATTTTTCGTAAATCGTTCTGGGGAGTAAGAGGATTTTCATTATTATATTTTTATGCTTAACTCACTTAATACCTTACATGATCTAGATTGATTTTACAGATATAGTTAATGTTATTATAATTTTCTTCTCAAGACTGTAAAACATATGTTCACAAGGAGATCATCATACCTCATATTACATATAAACCTATTATATGTTCTGTGCATATTTAGAGCGCCAAAGTTTAAAAATCACACTGCCACTCCTTATAATAATGACTTAATTACGTGTTCACCGAAGCATTACAAATGCCGATTCCAATTAAGGAGCTCTGATTAATATGATGACTAACAAGTCAACATCAAATTTTAAGTACTGTGCGTCAAGATAACACGTACATTTAGGATGAGATAAGTTACATCCAAGTCTAATCGGCACCTTGTAGTCCTAGAAAAACAGAAATAACTGTCTTCTTTGTAAACATTGTGCATTGTACAGTGATTTTGACCTGCCTGGATTTATTCGTACTGAGATCAGCCTCCTGAAATCCCATCGCTTTGGCAAATTCCGTGGCCAAATCTCCTACTAGTAGAGTATGTGAAGTATGATCAAGAACCTTGCGGGCCACTCGCATTGCATATTTAACCCTGCGAAGTTGAGCAACTGCCCCCACGTTACGATTGGGCCCATACATGATGAGTGCATCCAAGGTAGTTTCACCTGAATAGAAAATGTACAAAGGATACATAAAATCAGCTGATATTTAGAGCAGGTTTAATCGCAAATAATAGACCCTAACTACCACTAACTTCTAGCTCGGTGGCCGCGTTCTCATCGAATAAGAAATTGTCAAAACTCTGCCTCCAGAACGTTCCTATACGATTTTTGTGTTTCGACTATTTTTGAAAACAGCTCACCATTCTCATCAGGGCTACCGCCATACCCAACTGTACCATCACACTGTAGATCTTCACAGCGGCTGCATCCGTCCTCGACAGCATCAAGCGAGCTTCCTCCCTTGAGAAGAGTTCTCCATGCTTCACGTGTAGCAGCCTGAAATGCCCATGTGTTGACCACGATCGGTGGCCCACCGGACTGTGAGGCATTAGTCCAGGATGAAGTAAATGCTACAATACAGACCATTAAACAAAGTCTGTGCAGTTTCATCACGGTATGATCCATAAAACCTCTGTGAGAAGCAAATATACGCAAAAAATATTGGACGAACTTATCACTCACACTGGCATTAGATTCCTGGAAGTGGGAACAGCAATTGTCTCTGTTTGAGTAGAAAATCGATATCGAAGACGAAGAAAGAATGTGTGCGAGCGAGCGAGCGAGCGAGAGAAAGGAAAGAAAGACATCGATTTGCTATTGAACGTGGGGTCCCCCATTGCAATGATTGAAGCCTGAAACCATTTTTTTTTTCATAGGATCGTATTTTCTACGCGTAATTGAATTCCTTCCGGGCCAAATCCACGCCAATTTAGCGTTCGACGCCAAGAGTGTGGCGGGCTCAGTCAAATGACGTCGAACTATATCGTTGTCGGTTGAAATATACTTGAAATGGTCGATTTTTGCTTAATTTTCTCACGGCTACGTTGCGATTTACACGCCATCTCCTTTCCAAAAATCGTAATAATTCACGCGTAGAACAATTACCAGAACGGTTCATGAACGGGTGTAAACTCAAATAAATAAAACAATAGGCACGAAACTCTGCTCTTGCCCTGTTATAAGCTAGCCGACAAGGTAACGATGATAATTATAGATAATTTTATAAACGTCGTTTACAACATGATATAGCATATTTTGTATTTACAGACATTAGCCCTCGTCAAGCAATCAGCAGATCTCATTTGGAGTCTTAGCTGGCGCCCCGAAGTCTTTCCAGTGACGCAAAATAAAAACGAAAACAGAAAAACCTTACGAGGATGTTTCTTTAATCAGTATCTATCTTACTCTGCATGTGTGCTACTGTCATACAGAATAAATATGAACAGAAAACTACTAACACAAACTACAAACGGAAAAAGATTATATTGGGTCTATTTAATTTCAACAAAAAAGTTACAAGTTGCTCTCTCAATCCTACGTCAACTACATTCATCATCAACCTATATGCGCCTATTTCAGTTTACCTGATATCGGGGGCAAAAATGGTGCGTACTCACACGTCTAGATGGATAGAGCGCCTGTTAGGCTGACTGCTGCTGACGCAGGCGTTTGCACCGGCCGTAACCGGCTGCAATCGCTTCAAGTCGACGAACAGATACTCCGGTGTCTTTTCTTGTTGAAACTGCTAGTGGCAGCGAGCAAAGCAGCGACTCGGTCTGTAACCGAGCAATATACGATGAACGTTTTCGCCAATGTTGCAATGTAAATTACAATGCAGACGTTTGGCGTTCGTCTGCCATTAATGGAAACAGAGGTTTTTAAGCGGCTTGTCCTGTTGAGAATGTCTATCTCTATTGTCATCTTTAGGTAATCTCTAACCCAGTATAAACCGCCATTTTGTTCATGCTGCTAATATCGTCCCGATGGGTGGCTAAGTGTCGACTAAGAGATAAATGGTTGACGGCTAGATCCATCTGCTAATGCAGACACCGGACTCAGTCCAAGGTAGGTGACATCTTCGCTCTCCTGACAATTTGACTCCATTAATGCTCGGTACATATTTGGCTATATGCTGAGAGCAGAGCGGATGTAATAAAAAAACAACAACAATTTTGTTATTGAGCACGTGCATAACTATATTCCTACCAATGTCGACCCAAGTAGATCATACAGGGCCAAAAAATTCAACTATTAAGCTCGTTTACGATTCAACAATTAACTACATCTGAAATTCAGGCCGATTATGCCCCAACGTTTGGAAAGGATCTCGGAACTGACAATGGACGGATCGACGAAAACAAGTTCCATTCGATGACCAGTCCTTGCTGGCAATAATACATAGATGAAGGGTGCTCGATAAAAAACAACTCCTGTCCGAAATCTACATATAAAAGAAGTTGACCGTACGCTTTGCACAGCAGGTTAGAACAGGTGTAACAATTATGTAATTACGTAATTGTTTACTTGACAACTACCTATGTCGGTAGATGTTATGTTTCCATAGAAACTGGAAAAAACCAATATCAAGCCGTTATTAAATTTTGGCCTTTAGAAAATTTACATCGGCGCTGTGTATGGCGATTTTTCACTGTCGTCTGATACCGTCAAATTTTGAACAGCCGGACTAAAACGTGGTCGTATCAGCCTTTAAATGAAGAGAAGAATGCTAAAAAGAAAATACAACGACTATTAATAACCTCGAATGCTCATCAAATGCCCTACCACCAAACGCTGGTAGACGACTGTCAAATTAGGTGTTTGACAGATCCGAAAAAAAAAACGTATTTGCTATAGATTTAAGTAATGATATAGAAATCTACCTTAATAATTTAAGAAAGTATTTTTATATAATGGTGGAAAGGTACAGTAAGATAAAGATAAAAATTGTTCGCAGGATTATCGGACAACATCATGCACATAAAGCAGGTATATCTTGTGTGCGTGTGTGTAAATTCGGACGTGGATACCTATTATGTGTATGTGATGTGAACAAATGGGTTACGATGTACCGACCTTTCAACCAACATGCTTTAGTTAATTAGTCACTCAAAAAAAAGGCGCGATAGCAATGGTCGGCATGACAAAAAGCTACAAGGTGGGCTACGGGTTGATCGAACAGCCGCCATATTTACCAAATCTGGCCCCAATCATTTTTTCCCTTTCCTAGGGTCAATGCTTCGCTCAAAGAATAGACTTTCATCAAATGAGGAGTACCTGACATTCATAAACACGTGCCTTGCAGACCAAGATGACAGCTACTCTTTAGACTGACCAAAATGTGGCGGTATCGCTGAGAAAAATGCATGCCATGCATATACATGTATCTAATAAAACTACGAAAGAAGAAATAAATTAAAACTTGACGAAAAAAATTACTTGTTTATGTGTTACCTTGGAAACTGTTCACGTAAATACCTTGACGAAAGTTTAAATTAGCATAAGGCGGGAAAGGTGTATGTTTAATGATTGGTATGTACGCGTTGGAACCATTTGGGTGCTATCATGGTTATAACTAAATATATGCATGCGCCATCTGCCTAGTGGGCAAATTTTTATGGCAAGCGTTACTTTAACTTCGAGCTAAAGCAAAATATGCGTGACAGAAACGCTCCATTCGAACAGTTTATCGTCGTCTTAGCATAGGTCTACCTAATTTAAGGTGACTCGCTTAAATTCTAAACCTGCAATCCTACATTTACGGGTACATAACAGCCCTAACACGACACGGTAGTGGCAAGGTGACTTGTCACGTTCGATAGTCGAAGTCGATTTGGAGAATTTTCAAAAAAGAAAAAAAAAAACGAGCTTTTCTTGAAACCCACGTCGGGCGTGTTTCCCAAAATCCTCAACCCATTTACAAACAAAAGCAAATAGGGAAGTCGTTTTATCACGTCACATTTTCCTCTGCTCAGACAATGGTCATGGTCATGCGATACGTCCCTGCAGTAGAGAACCTATGATTTGACTGGGTCAATCTACTTGTGACCCGCATCTTTAAATAATAAAAAAACCGCACTTTTTTTAAATGTTGCCGAACTATTTCAACTAATTGACATAGGCCCTTTGCGCGGAACTACTTCCACTGGTTCGCTCCACACGTATAAACGGTACATACCATCGTTGATCCCGTTATTACATATAACATCATAATTGACGTATTACATTTAAGAATTTCCACTATGATTGTTTGTTCCTATTTATTACAGTAGCAGATTGCCAGGCCCTTTTTCTTCATCCTAGACAGCAATGTATTTACATTTGCTAGAGCTTTTTTGTGAAACGAACTTTTTAAGGCACCTAATTTTATCAAAACTTCCTCAGATCACGTGGAGTACGAACTTTCTGAGAGCGAATCAGCCGCCAGATTGAATAAGATCATTTACAAGAATAACAAATGTTACGTTTTAGCACACTTAAGCCCGTAGCATACGAAAAATCGTCAATGATAAATCTTCTAGTTGTGTATATAGTACGTCTTTTCGCCCGGTAGAATGATCTCTTAAATTAATTTATTCAGTTATTATATTATATTACTAATTCAGCTTAGTCACGGTAGATCCTTCGCCATACAGGCAGTGTTCCGTTGCCCGTCTTAGAATGGGAGTTTTGATTGATCAGGGAACGCTCGAGGAATATACAGACAGGAAATTCAGGTATCGATAAAACCTGTTTGCTTGACTAGATAGGCTGGACATTCGGCCGAATATTTAAGTACACACCTTGAATTGGACGTGTTTCGTGGGGTCTCTCTATAAAGTCGATAGTGGCAAGCTAGCCGGCGTCCCTCCGGCGAGGTTTCTATATCTATTTATCAAGTCTTATTTTTATCTACATTCGGCACCAACCGCTTCGCTGGCTTGTATCAAGTAGAGTAAAGGACAGCGAAGCGGTCATGGTTTAAAGAAAAAGGCCCTAAAAGAAACGTTTGCTTTCCGTGTCCTAATGAAGATTGGTAAAAAAAAAATTAATAGCGAGTCGAAATCAACATTTCGTTCAGTATAGATGGTTCACAACAAACATAATTTATTTTGTGGTGACAATGTAGAGCATTATGGTCAAAAGAGATGGGACAGTGTGTGAGCAATACAGCTGCCGCGTGAAGAAGATCATGTAAATCGACAATAACGTAGCCTAAAATTATCAGCTTATCTTGTCCTAGGTTTGTAATCTTTTCCATAACTCAGCTCTTTGACCCCTGTGCCTTCGTAAGCTCTGTGATGCTTCACGTCCTACCCCTGATTTGCTTCAAGCTCGCAAGCAAAACCGCAGACCCATTTCGTACAAAAAAGTCAGAGTACATCATGTCCATTTTCTATGTTCATATACTAACCGCCAAGAGATCGCGAGTCGTTCTGCGTTTCTCTTGGCTTCATCTTCCGGATGTCGTGACATGGCTATGTATCCGCGCAGGACTAGAACTCATACCTCGGCTATAAAGCAAGCTTGCTCTCACGAAAGAACTACCGAAGCCTCTTTCTATCGAATTACTGCTGCATCCCCCTTCAATTGCTTTCCATTCGTGACAGAGTCTACGCTCATCGGTAGTGCGACCAATTCATTATGAATCAAATTAATCTGTTCAATATTTTCAGAACACGGACTGCCTTAGCAGAAAGGGCAGAAGTTATACGAGAGGGCGAGACCGAGGACAGCGATGCTATAAGGCGCACGGGATATACGTATAATGGCAATGAAACGGAAGTACCGCATAGGTCTTGCGTATAGTTGATGCTTCTTACGTAGCCATTACTAATCAGTAAAATACCGTCATCGTCATTATTTTGACGTTTCCTCATGATTACGTGGTAGTTCCAGAAAATAACTGTACGCCATATCTTTGTGCAACAGCAGCAGAGGCGGCAAGAAGTAGATTTAGTTATCAAATCAGTGCCACGTAATGCTGGTAGCATTTGATTAGAGATTACGCCATCTATTTTATTGCGGCGTCTAAATTACGCCTTCAATTGTTAATGGGAAAAATACATGATATCTTCCCGGACTGAGTTTGATACATCATTGGCTTGTTCGTATTATTAGTTATTGTCGAAATTACGTAGACGCTTCACTGATGCCAATTCGATCCTGTTACTAACGAGTTTTATACAATACAGACTTTTTTTTTTATAAAAAGCGAAATAGAGCAAACATTTAATGAAGGGTTTTCGTTAGACTTGAAAATGCCGCACGGTTTGCTTGTAAGCACAGCTCAGCAATCACAGTTCGAAAGATAATGTGATTAGTAAGTTTGATTGAGACTCACTTTTTGAGCGATAGACTTCAAGTCTTTCATTAGCTGATGAAGGTCTTATGTTTACATAGAGATGCTTGTTCTAATGGTATTTACCGATAGGTAACGCACGAATCAAACCCCAATCTGTACAACTGACACTGCGTTGTATAAATGAGGCGTAACTTTTTGCGTCTTTCCGTGCTACCGAAGCCCTACTGTCGCAATCTGCGTAGGAGCATACATATTTGGCAGGATCACCATCAGTAATAAACTGCACAAATGACACGTCTAATGCGTGAAATTTTATAAACCCGCACGCATATATATATATATACACCGATGGTTCATCTCAATCTAAGGTACGTTCACAAACTGCGCGTGTTTTTATTTAGTCAGAGATAGCTGTTAGATAAAGCCGCCATGCTCACTGATTGAGGTTCATAAGCGTACCTAGATAGATAATTCGTAAGGACAAATGGTGACACGTCTTCATAAGGAATGCCCTACGTGTGATAATGGACGT